TATTCAGTACATGGGATGTGTGAAGATTACCCCTCTTACTTCAAACTTACCATGCGGCTATGCCTCTAAGTCGTGACCCGACACGTGGGAGATATAGCCGCATTGTGGTTGTTACACAAGAACCTTTTTTGAATTTCAGACAAATTTCCCAACACATAAATAGTTTCTAATTCATGGGCAAAATTAGAAATTGTGAACATTTTCTGAAGTTCACGAACATTTAGTGAATTTACGAACAAATTTGCATAACATGAACAGTTTCAAATTCACGAACAAAATCAGAAATTGGGAGCATTTTCAGAAGTTCTTGAACATTCTTTGAATTTGCGAAGAAATTTTCAAAACATGAGCACTTTTAAAATTTCTGAACAAAATTTTAAAAATAGAATCTGTTTTCCAAATTCCCCAAAATTGTTGAATTTGTGAACAAAAAAATTAAAATGCAAACATTTTTAGAATTTCCAAAAATTTGTTGAAAAGGAAAAATAAACTTGAAATAGGAAATAAAAAGAAAGAAGGGAAAAAGATAAACAAAAAAGGAAAACAAAAACGAAAACGAAAAAGGAAAAGACGTAGAAAATAAAAAACCAAAAAGAAACAGAAAAAACGAAAAAGGAAACAAAGGAAAAGATAGAGAAGAAACAGAAAAAACGAAAATATCATTTCTTAGCTTTATTTTCAATAACTAGCTATTCCTAAAAACGCGATGAGACATATTGTGCTAAGAGATCATCTCTTGTCTTCTCTTATTTAAGAAAAGACAAACCTTTTCTTACAAGTTCTCTCTCCTTCACCTCATCATTTATCCTACGTGTCACTTCTAAGATAGTACAATTGTACCCCTAATAGTCGCTGCAGGCGCCAGTTCGCCCGCTGGCACTCATGGGCACTGCAAGCTGGCCGGCCCATTAAACGGAAAATCAACCAGATCGCTAGGTCGAAGTCAGATCCCTCGTCACGATTAATTTCCTGACTCGCTCGTTTTGTTCAAGAATTTTGAAAAAGAACTTCCAGAATTTGGGAAAAGTTCACGAAAACAAGTCCACAAATTTAAATAAAGTTCATCAATTTTAGAAAAAAAAATCACTAATTATGAAAAGAAGTTCATCAAAAAATTTCATCAAATTTAAAAAATGTTCATCCAATTTGACAAAAGTTTACTAAATTTTGGAAAAAACCATCTATTTTTCTAAAAATCATCTAATGCATTATCAACAATTAGAGAAAAGGTTCGGGAAATTTAAAAAAAAAGCACATTAAAAAAGAATAGAAATGGATCAAAACACCAACCGAACTGAAGAACTAAATAAAAGTAAGAAGCAGAGTATTTTTGGACGAGCGGGGTGATGGCTTGATGGTCATAACGTATCAGTCGCAGCGAATGGGTCACGGGTTCGAACCTCTGTGCCCATGCCTGCACCGTCAAATAGGATTCGCCGCAAAACTCCGCTCAGCCTCTGCATCGGGTCAGTTTTTTTTAGCAACCCGCGTCGGGTAGGTGAGGCATCACTTGAAAGCAAGGGAAATAGGCCGTCTCACTCTGGCCCGAGAGATTTTATGTTTTTGCCTCTATGATTTTTAGCACGTTCTTTTTTCAGAAAAAAGAATAGAAATGGGCAGAAAGAGTACTAACCGGCGCCTGCAGCGTCAAATAGGATTCACCGCAAAACTCGGCTCAGCCTATGTGGTGAGTTTCTTTTTGAGCAACCTGCGCCCGGTAGGTGAGGCAACGGCTGAAAGCAAGGGAAATGAGCCAGGCCACTCTGGCCCGAGAGATTTTCTGTTTTTGCCTCTATGATTTTCAGTTGGTTATTCTCCAAAAAGACAGAGCTAAATATTTACAATCCAATTAGAAATAAATATATATTTTTACAAATTGTCCAGTGCATTTTTTGAAACAAGTTCAATATATACTGAAAAATATGTGCACCGTATATTAAGAAAAGTTCAGTATATATTAAATAATTGTTAGTGTGTATTAAAAAAAAGCTCAAAATATATTACAAAATGTTTAGTGTGGATTCTAAAAATGTTCATCATATATTATAAACATGTTTTGTGTGCATTCAAAACATGTTCATCGTATATCCAAGAATTTCTCACTGTGTGTTACAAAATTATTCACTATGTATAAAAAAATAAAAATAAATAGCAAATAAAAAATCAGAAAAAAAAAGCAAATAGAATAGAAAAGAAAAAAAAACTGCAGCGAACGAACAACAGTGTGCGCAACAAAATTGGACGGCCCATCTGGCTCGCTTGGGAGCGGTGCTCTCTCTATTTGCTACTTGCGGGCGGCGAATAGGACCCATCCTGCGGCGAGTTGGTGCTGTATTAATAGGGCGGAGCTAATTTTATAGGATTTTTGGAGAACTAATACTCATTAGTTTTCTTGGTTGTTTGATTAGCAATGATATGTTTTTTAAATATTCAGTTATATTATATTTTACAGATAATTTTATGTCAACACAAACCCTCTCGAAAAAGAATCATATTGTTTTCATGTGGTGCAATCAAGAAAACTTGCCCAATAGTCCGGTTAATCCCCCAGCAAAAAATTAAAATAGAGTTGTCTGGTTAATCCATTAAGATACTAAGCTCTAAAGCCTGCTGGTGCGTGGGAAGTTATGGGCGACGTTCTGAACCCGGTGTGTGTCGCAGGGCCGACCTTTTTTTTTCAGGTTGCATGAAGGTATTACCCGTCTTTTGGTTTCATTTATTTTCTATGTTTCCATAACTTTTGTTTGATTTTGTTATGCTCTAGGGCATCTCTAAGAGAGACCTGTAAAACACCGGTACATGTTCGGTCGAACACATTTGTTTACTTTTGTAATCCAACGGGATTTATATCAATCCATAAAGCTGTCCAGACGTCCAAATTTTGGTATTTTGGAGACAAATATGGGGGAGCTTTGCCGGAGTCCGGACATGCAATTGACCAATCACATGCATGGTCGCTCTCTTCTCTCTCTCCTCCCATCCGCACATGCATGGCCCTCCTCTTTTCTCTTCTCACAAGCCACAGATATTCCACCACATGCATGGTCTCCACCTACTTTTTCTCCTCACAATTGAATATTTTGCAATTAATGTTGGATTGCTCTTTCCCGTATCATGTCCGTAGATCACGTTTGGACATAAAAACCGGACATATACCGGATAAATTTATAGGTCGGCATTGGTGATGCCCTTATTCCTTTCATGTTTGTCTTTTTTTTTCTCTTTTTAGTTTTTTATTTCATTATTCACATGTTAAATCATGAATATTCATTAATAGTTGTAAACATTTTTAAAAACTATGGACATTTTTTAGAATCCATGAACCATTTTAAAATTCATGAATATTTAAAGTTCACAAATATTTTTAAGCATGCGAATTTTTTTAATTTGTGATCTTTTTTGAATTTGTGAGCATTGTTTCAAATTCAAGATTTTTTAAATTTTGTGATTTTTTTCTGAACCTTTTTGTTTTTTTAATCCGCAACATTTTGTAATCTAAGATTTTTTTTAGAATACATGAATTTCTTTGATTAAATGAACTTCTTCAAATAAAATATGACATCTGTTTCTTTTCTAGGCTAGAAGTGGAGCGATTGAAAAAAAAGCTAAATGATCGGAGCAGGGAGCCAAGCTGAGCAAGTGAGAGATTCATCTGCTGGTTCATGTTAGTGTTACAACAACAATTTGATGGTTTCAACCTGGAATAAGAACTCCCAAGGGCCTCACACAACCACCGGCTAACACCGACGTCAAAGCGTGTAAGGGCTCCACAGCCATGCATGTAACAACTCTGTTCTCTTCTCAGAACAAATATCTTCTCCAATATTAGGCCAACACGAATATACAAATGAAAAAGCACCGCCAGGACATAATTAAAAGCCAAGCCAACGTAAAATAAAACCAAAGAAAAAACGACCGTAATAACCTATTAGAGGAAAAAAAGTTTAATCCCACAAGTGAAGAACTACGCAGCGAAGTGCTCGTTAGCCTCTAGTTACTTCTATTCGAAACAAGATACTTCACACAACTTGACTGATAGTCCAAGAGTAACTTTGAAGATTGTGTTAATATCTACTTAAGCAAATTTGCATTACTTTTTTTTTGCGGGGAGCAAGTTTGCATTACTGCCTTTTCTTTGTTCATATATAGAAAATTCTCTTTTGTTTCGTCTAAACAACACAACATACAATAAACTTGAAATTGCATATCAGCAACATATTTGCATCACTGCCTTTTCTTCGTTCTCTTTATGTATTGCTTTTATAGCTTGCAAAGACACTAGTTGCGTTAATGAAATTGGAGAGACAACTCTCTTTTTAAAAAGAAAAAAAACACATTTGTACTACAATATGTTGATTTGTTTTTTGTGCACCATAAATACTTAACAGAGCTTATTCTATGAAGCGAAGATAGTAAGCTAGCACTGATCTCAACAAAACTAAAAGCCGGATGGAGGGTGCATATGCATGGGTGTTCAGATAAATCCCCTATCAAGTCGAGATTATACTAGGTAGTAGTTGTACGGGTTCATCAGTTCAGTTTCCAATTGAACACGCTCACAACTAGTGCTCCTACTCAAGTATACTCATTTCGAAAAGTGAGAAAACTTTCTAGCTCTCATTAACAGCCAGGTGTGAAGGAACTTTTGCTCGACCAAGGTGGTCTTTAGGGCGCTAATCCCAGCATTAGTAATGCGTAATCACAGCCTGTTGATTGTTGGAACACGAACTACGGTGCATGTTCTCACCATTGATGACAGTACAAAAGAAAGAAGACGAGTAGCACATCATCGTTAGCTGTGTCGTAGAACTTTTGGGAGACAACATCCTCACCAACAACTTTATAGTAACCGGGCGCTGCACCCCCATGCATTGTTCCTTCCCCCATTGTACTACACGACCCTCTAGCTAGATCTCCGGCCTCTTCTCTTCTATTTCTTCTCGTCGTCACACCTACTGGTGCATATTGCAATGCCGGGGTTAAGCTCTCCTCTGGCCCCCATGAGGCTCGCTGCAACTTCCAGTGTTCTTGTCACCCTCTTCTTCATTGCTCTCTTCCTTGGCTCATGCGAGGCTCGACGCCTTCTTGTCCATGGCGCCACGGGCAGTTCAAGCGAGTCACCTCCTGCGCCGCGCAAGGTACGTTGGTAGCTTTACCTAGCCATGCATTGAAGCAACTTAATTTCCTTGTATCTAAAAGAGTGTCTTTATCGATCTCATTGGTTGTTCTACTTGAGTTGTACTAACTCACAGTCCTTAAACTTGAAGGCTGATGGTTCTCCGATAAACCAGCCGAACGATCTATCAACTGCGGACGCTAAGGATGCTTGCGTTGATCATTTCGACGCCAAGGTGAAGGAGGGAGTGGCGGTACCATCAGGCGCAGCTCGGATGGCGGTTATCGGTAGGGTTTCACGGCGGCTTTCTCATAGGAATTTGCAAGTGGTGGGCACAGCGTTTCATCTAGATTATGCTGGGCCTGAGACCCATCCCCCCACTCACAACTGATGCATGAGTTTGGGATGTTTGCTCTCTATGTATATGAGTACGTAGTGTTCGATCGAGCCCTATTTCTGTGTCTGCAACCGATCTTTCTAGCTTCAGCCTACTCGGCTACTGCCGGAGTGAGTACACTAGCAAGCTAGCTAGAATATTTTCTTGTTGAAAGAGTGTAACAGATCACACAGTATACATATGCTTTGTTGTGTTGAGAGTTCTGGCTAATATAGTTTTTCTGTGCACCCTGCCACCATTATTCCCTATCTCTGGCAGTCAACTTCGCCGTTACCTCCTAACAACAGCTCACCGCGTCTTCCCCTGCCATGTCACCCGCTCACACTCTCTAGTCTGTACTCAACATGCGCCCGCTGCTGTCAATAGCACTGCCAACCCGCGCCACCCTACTTGAACTGCCACCACTGTTGGCCGTCACCGCCCCTAGCAATCTCTCTAGCTAGGATTGAGAGAGCATTGGTGAACCTTCCAAACCTAGCCCTAATTTGACTATTTTGTCACCTCATCGTGCTCCGAGTACTCCATCTTCACGGCCGGGGGAAAAACAGTAGGGAGGAGCAACGAGAAGAAGGCAGTTAACAGTGAGGTGGCGATAGGGACGAAGATAAAAATTGTACAAAAAAATCGCCTATCAGAAATGAATTTTTGATCCATTATAAATTAGCATATGTGTATAGTAACATCATGATCACTGACAACTCGCTCCATTCTCAATTGTAATGCGTGTGCCTAAGAATCTCCTAAAACAAAACGAAAAGGGCGTATAATACATTGGGAATGGAGAAGTACTGCTACTTATAGATATAGGACAGGAAAAATATCTCAAACATCAGGCAAACGAAGAAAAAGGTAAAACACTCCATTTTGGAAAAAAAAAAGCAAAGAAAGAAAAAACACCAACAAGTTTCACATGCATGACTTATTATTTGAAATGGAGTGAGTTAAAATTAATAACTGGACAGCGAAGGACTATGGATGCCTGTCCCTTGACTTATCTTAATCCATGTCTGTCATGATACTTGAGATGTAAATTCTTCAGCAAGTTGGATATGTTTGAGCAGCAGTAATACCCCTGTCTGTATGCAACGCAAACCTCTGCAAAAGATCTTGGGTCATTGATCCTGACAATCCAGGACAGAAACTTGCTTCAAGCAAGACAGCAGTGCATCGCACGCCGAACAGCATGTTCCATGCTGTAGCGCTTCCGACCACGCGTTCCGTCAGTCCCGCTGCGTCCGTGCAGCAGGAATAAAATAGTCCCGCTTCAAATCTCTCGAGAAAACTTACACGAGCAAGCAGTCTCGGTCAATTCCCTGAGCACCGTTGACCTTAGAGGATCGGAGAAGTGAACTTCGATCGGTAACCGTGTGTCTAAAGAAAGTTGCAAGCCCGATCGAGGAGCGCAAACCATGTGCGCAGGGACTTGGGGGCACAAACTGAAAAAAGTAATGCATGTCCTGATGTCTGATTGTGAAAAATATCTCAATCTTCCCAAGAATGTCCCCCTCCTCCTCTCATGTAGCCCGAAATGTTTAACCAGCATGCGACTAGACAAATTAAAATAGTGCGAATATCATAGCAGGACAAACTGGGACGCACAGCCCTGCTCCAGAAAAGACAGACATGCCAACCTCGTATCCATGCAAATAACAAACTGATGTAAATTTTTTTGGCAAAAGGTGCACCTTCCTCATCCCAGGCGGCACCTAGGTCTGGGTTCCACCTACAAGTATAGTGTAAAACCACCATAACTGAAGATAGGGTTTTGGAAAACCATCACATTTCCATTTCATCACCAATACCATCCACATTATGCTAAAAAAAAGGAGCTCTCGCTCTCGCTCTCGCATGCCTCTCGCTCTCGCGACGCTGCACCTCCTCCTCGCCATAGCCGCCACTGCCACAGATCTAGGCCCGCGGCATGCCTCCACGCCAGCGAGGGGTGCTAGCGCTGGCTGCACCCATGCCTCCCCCACCCCAGCAGCTTGTGCCCGCCATACGCGAGAGATTCCCAGAGATCCTGCGGCTGATCTCTCCAGTCCCACAGGCGGTGCTCATGGCGACCAGGGCCAGGGGGTGGACGGAGCGCGCGACCAGGACCCGGGACGCCACCTTCGAGTGGATTCGGTGCGTGCATGAGTGGAAGGCGGCGGACCGGGCGGTTGCGGCGGCAACCGAGCCGGAGGCGAGATCTGCGGCCACGAAGGTCGCTGAGATTCACCGAAGGAGGGCGGATGTGGAGCAGAGGAAGCTGGCGCGGCGAATCTACGAGGAGGCCACGCTGGAGGAGAGGGCAAGGATGCCCCCGTTACCGTCCTCCCCGCCGGCCGAATTCGTGGTTTGGGCGAGGGCGGAAGCAAAATCGGAAGAGCCACGGCGGGTACTCAACTGGGAATGCATCCTTGGCGTGATTCCACCGAGCGCATGAGGAGTGTTGCGGGTGAGGCGACATACCCACTGCCTCGCCGCGACATGCTTGAGCCACCGTGGTTTGGAGACCGCGGTGAGGTTCCACCGGGCGCTCGTTCGAGGTTTCTTGAGGGGATTTGTATCCCAAGGAATCAGATTTGTCTTATGATCTCGTAGTCGCCGATGGTGTTGAAACCAGTGGAAATTAGGCAGAGCTTGTGCTCGGAGAATCGGGATTCGCCGTCGGCGGCGAGGTCCAAATCGCCGGAGTTGGGGGGTTTTTCTCCTGTGATGCGAGTGGGGTCACCCAGGCGGATTGGCGTGGGCCCCGTTGCCACGTCGCTCCCACCAATCAGGTGCGAGAGGGTGAAAACGCCTTTGGCGAATACGCCTCCTGCTCACGATGGCGCGGATGAGACTATTTCTAGGGTTTTTGGACAGCTCTGGTCCATTCCATCCCCCCACTGTCGCCAGCCCCGTCCTCTTCCACCAAGCAAAACCACCACCACTCTAGGATGGCTCCGGAAAGATCTGGCTCGCTCCGGGTGTTTTTCTCCGTTTGATTTATTCCCAGACAAGCATCTCCACCCGTTTGATCCTCCTCCTACACAACTCAAGATCATCAGGGAGGGAATTGGGGACGGATCCAAGTCCTTTGCTCAGGCTGTCATGGCGGACAAGAGTGCACCGACTGGGGGGCTGAAACAGCGGGCACCGGCTCTGCAGAAGAACCCGGATTGTCGTCAAGCCGCCGGGGGGGGGGCATGAACTGCTACCGCGCCCGGCAAAGGTGCTGCCCCCTTGCTCAAGCAGTCATGGCAGCGCCCCCGCTGCCGGTCCCGCCTACCCCACCGGTGCAAGGATATGGTCTGCTTTACCTGTCGAGGCCCTGGTCACTACGTTGGTAATTGCATTCAGAAGGAAAACTGCTTCATCTGTGGATTGGAGGGGCACAATGTCAACAATTGCGCGGCTTGGGCGCAACCTCATCCAGTTGCCACGTTCTTTGGTAGTTCTGCTTTGGGACTGGGATTCTATCACATTGACGCTCTTGTGGGTCGTGAAGAAAATTGGCTTAATTTTAGAAACTGTGGAGAAGTGTGGGTCATGAAAGGAGAAATCAACAAGTCTGACCTGGTTAAGAATCTGTCTGGTATATTCTGCAAAAACAAACAATGGACATGCCAGATCAGGCCATTGATAGAACAAAAGTTCCTGGTCAGATTCCCACCCTGGAAAGATGTGGAAGAGTTGATTGAGTTTCCTGCCTTCGACTTGCCTATTGATGGACTATCTGTGCCAGTTGAGAAAAGGACCGGTGCAATTGACCCATTCAGCGAGCTTACTAAAGCCTGGGTTATTATTGAGGGGCTTTCATCTAAATGGTGCACATGGAAGGTCCTATCATAGATTGCATCTTGCTTTGGAATCCTTGTGGATGTGGATTGGAATGGCCTAATGAAGAGTTTTTATGAGAAAGTAAGAGTCAAGATTGCTTGCTGGGACCCAGCTAAGATCCCCTTTGAACGGGTCATGGAGATGAGGAAAAAACTTTATATTTGTCCTTTACAGTGGAAGGTTTTGATCAGATAGGGGCTGATGATCCTAATGATGACAATGGGCCTACTGACATATCTGTGGACGATGATAACAAAGCAATTGAAGATGAGGAGCTGGTCAAGGACATCCTAGATCATGCAGAGGAACCCATTGACGATCTGGACCTGGCCAACAAGGCTTCCAACTCGAAAACCCTAGCTGGGAAAAAAAGCAAATGATGATGGTGTTGCCTTCCATCCCGATGCTCTGTTAGAGGCATGCATCTCTCCTGTGAGAGCTGACAAGAAGACTAAAGGAAAAACCAAGACACAGAGCATGTGCTCTTCTATACCCTTCTCTGAGGCGATCAGGATCCTTAGCACTCCCAGCAACAAAACTTGTGATGTCAATGCACTCGCTACATCATCGAATGGGGTTGCTGCTGTCATTTCCCCAGTGTCCACTCAAAAAGCCTACTGCTCAGACCTGCTGGAAGAGCTGGAAGATTCTGCATCTGATACTGCTAGTGAAGCTACTGAATTAGAGGAGGAAATGGATACATTTGAAGCCCCGATAGTCAGTGGTCTGAAGATGATGGGACTAATGGAGAAAATGGTTCTGCCCAATGAAAAGCCAACAACCAAGAACAAGTGGGGCCCAGTTATTGCTCCAAGACTAAGTTCCAGGGTGCACAGCAGACAGAACATCATGGAGAAAGCTGCTGCGTACAAAATGAAGCAAAATCTGGAAATCCCCTCTACCTTTAAAAGTAAGTCTTTTACGACCGAGTCTGCATCTATTTTAGAGGCTTATGCTTCTGTAGTTAACATCAAGATTGGTGATAATGGAAAAGAGAAAAACCAAATTATTAATGATATCATTAGATATGAGACTGGAAAATGCCTTTTATTTGCTTCTCAAAACCCTGAGATATCTCTGCCTGACAATCTAGATACTGAAATTAATGTAGATATTGGAGTTTATACTCCAAAAAATGACATTCCTTGCACCAACACACCAGGGGGCACTGTTGGTGTTGTAGGTGG